TTGTGATCATTCACTTACATTATTGTCAGACTTAACGCATAAAAATAAGATTATGTGATAATCTGTTAAGTTTTGCTCGAGCTTTACATTTTCATATACAGTATATGTTGTGATCATATATTTAATATTATGTCAACGATATATTGCGTCAAAAATAAATTCACTATTCATGTAGTTTAAGCTGATTTTAGACTTAATTTTAAAACAATAGATAGTAATACTAACATTAATTTAAAGTTTCATAGATCCCAAAGTTTTATAGTTAAAATTAATAGTTGTAAATCWTATTTTAAAAATGTTATTTAAATCATAATTGTTAATATATTTAGAAAACATACTTTTTAAGTCTTAATTAATTATATTATTTTTATATTAAATATGTAAATAAACATCAACACAATGTGTAATCATAAATTAAAATTATTTTTTATGTTAATAACCAATGATTTATTATTAGACATAATATAAATTCTTTATAATCATCTAAGATTTTATAGTTTCTGTTTAATGTTGTTATCAAATCTAACATTTTGTTTTAACATTGTTTCATAGAAGCTTAAAAACATTATAATAATAGCTCATAAGTTTTAGTATTAAATATAAAAATTTACAAAAATAAAAATACAAATCTGATATAAATTAACTAACAGTAAGTAGAAAAAACCATTATATTGTTGATAACTATTAAATTAATACTGTATAATATACAGCGTATGTCTATATTTATTTAGCATTCATAACTCCTGTTTGACTCATAATACCGGTGCCATTAGAAACTTTGWAGTAATATATGCTACTGATTAACTAATTAAATAAAAATTATATAATAAACATAAAAACAAAYAAAAATTACTTATTTATTGTTAATTTAATATAAAATTTCAAAAGTTTCAAGTATTCAATTTTAAATAACAACAATCTATAAATTTAAATATATTTAAATGTGTTTATAAACTTATGTTTTTTAATATGTTTTAAAATGTAGTTTAATATTATCATAAGAAAAAATATTAATATATTTTGTACATATTTTTATTGTTTATCATTACTGGATAATAATAACATTAAGAATGCTAACAAAATGTATAAAATATTTATAATTTACTTATTTTCCAATAATATAATATTGTAGTACTGTATATAATATCTCAGTACTTGTGAAAAATGTGTGCAAAGATTTTATAGCATCTGTTTTATGCTATAATAAAGTAGAAAAAATCTAATAATTTGAGTACTGTATATGGTATTTTTACTGTACATAACATTTTTAACAATTTATCCACATAACATATATTGTTAATATATGTATAAGATAATAAAAGATATAAAATACACTATTTTTTTGCTATAAATAAATATTTTTACATAAAAAAGGTATTTGCATTGAAAATGAGAAATTCAATCCTATCATAAATAACACGTGAGTTTCGGTTATTTACTATTTTGTTGTTTTAAGAAATCAATAGAAAACATTACTGAGATTTGTTTGGTGAAGAAAAATAGGATAAAATTCAGATTTGAATATACAGTTTGATAAATATATTTAAGTTTATGTCCATATCTTCTCCATAATATATAATACTTACTGTAGTTATAAATAAAATAAATGATTGCTTGCATTTCTCTCTCTTTCACTAACTCTATGCTATTTCATGTAAACCATTATAAAAATTAACTGTTTTTCATATGTTATTCTATAGTAGTTGTGGTGGCATTTGGGTGTGTCGTTACATCAAATAATATTACTTTTTATTATATGAAACGAGGAATTATATAATAATAATAATATACAATACAGTAACACTATTATTATACAATATTTCAAATACATAAATATATAGAAAACTTGTCTTTTATTTTGGATATCATTATTATATTCTTATTATTTGAAAAATATAATCAACTTAAAAGTGTGAATATATTATTACAACAAAATTTTTAATTAATGACTAATTTTATACTTTTGATGTTTCAATCACTTTTTTATATTTTTCATAAGAGAAACCCCAGTATATAAATTATGTTTATAAAAATTTAATACAAAATGTTATATTTATTATATTATTTTATACGTTATTATATAATATTATGATAGTTTCCACCTTTATATATTTATTGTCATAGAATAAAAGCACACAAATTTCATATAAATCATTCAATTTCTTTACCATTTAGTATAATTAATTTTACCGTTTGTTTTACACAGTTTTTTGTGACTCCCGTTTATTTAAGGAAACATTTATAAGACATTTGCAATCTCTTTCTATTAAACAAGTTTATCGAAAAATTAAATGTGAAGTATACTAAACATATAATAATAAATGTAATCAAATTAACTATAATTATTAAATTATAGCAATTTTTTTGGTTTGGAGTTATATTTGTAAAAAAATAAAATTAATGTCAAATAATGCATTTAAGATTAAATCTTATCATTATTTTCACTATACGAATATACAGTATAATGTTATAACATTATTTATCCCAGATACAGATATTAACCCAATATATATATATAGGTAAAAAATAACATTTTTAATTATATAAAATTTAATTAGATAACAATTTTTTCTAAATGAGTTAATTATATATATATATATTATCACAAAAATTACTAATTATGATCACATAGAGATAAATAATTGTAAATTATATTTTCAAAAAGTTCATAAAATTAATGTCTCTATTCTCTCTTTCACTTTATTTCAATACATTAATTACTTAAAACAAAATATCAAATAATATACATTTTTCATTGTGTGTGACAACAACATTCAAATACAGTATAAATTTATATTAATAATAACTTTACTATTATTATACTTCTAAGAGTATCATTAAATATATAAGTATAACATATATTAATGAAATTATTATTTTTATATATAATTTAATGAAAATTTATCTCAAAAATCTAAATCGAATTATTCATTAATTTAATAGCATTGGCTTTTCAAATGTATAATAATATTGCAATTATACTTAATATTCTCTATTATATGTATTATTAGTGGTTTTATAATTATTTTATAAAATATATTAAATTTGCAAATTATATTGCAATTGTCTGTTTGTATAAATTATTAATAATTTTGCATTTTATAACTTCCTAAATAAAACATAACATCCTTATGATAAACAATGTAATTTGTATATTCAATTTAGATAATAAATTTTGTCATATAATAAATGTCATTTGAAAAATTATCAAGTTACTTTGTTTTAATGATAAATTTAACACAAAAATACAATTAAAATAATAACAAATATATGCTAATGTAGTTTACATATTMTTTTTTATGCAAATTAGTTTATATTAATTATTTAAAAATATTTTTCTAATAATTAAACTATATTAAAATACATATTTTGAAAATCAAAATATGCAATAAATAAATGAAAATGTGATAATATCTATGAAACAAAATTTATTTTTTATTAAAATAATCTATAATATAGTAATATTAGATTTTTTACGTTTAAAATCAGTGATCGTCTATACACTATATGTAATTAAATTGCATACATAATTATAAAAGTAACTATGAGTTTATTTTACACTTTTAAATATAAATTTATTATTAAATATTTATTGAGTTTTTATAATATTAATAATTTATTAGATATTTTATAAAATGTTATAATAATAAAACTTATTGCCAATGATTGTTTAAAATAATTTGCAATAACAATCATATTTATTTATTTATTTATTTAATATCAAATACAGTGATCATAAATTAATTGCAATTTATTAGCCAATGTATTGTATATTGAGGTAAATACAGTATTGTAAATATATTGAACTAAGATTCATTTAATTTGACTAAATTTACTTCATTTTTGAAATATTTTACTAAAGTATTATTGTGTAATGAAATGTTTAAAATTTGAACTTCAAATAAAAACCCCGATTTTTACAACAAATATATTATAGTAGCTTATTATTGGCAGATTTATTATAAAATACTCAATATTTTATTTTTATAAAAATTATAATTCCTTTTAGGATTAAGGATTAGTATAGTTATTACATTTCATATACAGTATAGTATTTTTATTAAATTTTATCAATTATTACAGAAATATATTTGATAAATGTTTTAAACTAAAATCCTTCTTACTATCTTAAAAATACAATATTTGAAATCAATATATTTGATAGAAAAATAATTATCAGCTTTATATTTGATTTATTTTGCTTCAATTTATCTACAAAAATACAATATTTATAAATTGAAATTACAGTTATTAATACTAGTCAAACGTTTATAAACTGATTTTATAGTTTTTATTATTAATTATAAAATTTGTTTGACATCTCATAAATCCAATTATCCATACTATAAGTACAATTGCAATGTGTGTACTAACTTTGGTTGACATGATATAAGTGATTGCATGACTTGATATGGCTTATAGTTATGCAAATGTTTTTGAACTATTAATACAATATTAAATTTTAATTAGAGAAAAACCTTTAAAAATATTTTTGGTTCAAAAAACATTAATTCGATATTTCTAATTTATTTGAAAAAAAAGTTTAAAACATAAGCATTTTACTCATTCAAAAAATTAATTTTTTTACTATTTTTTAGTAATACCCTAATAAGTAATAAATTAATAAGCTATAATAAATTTGTTAGATAATTAAAGTGTAATACAGTAATATCTACTCTGTATTTATATAATATATATTATCTAAATATTATATTATTTTTATTTGACTAAATGAACTGATTTATCATATTCGTGATGTATGTAAAGTATATGGTTTAAAAATCGTATCTTTTTTATTTATGTTTTTTTGTTATCTTTTTAATTTTGTTTTTTAATATTTTAGAAACAAAATGTTGCAACAGATTATCAAAATATTTTATCGAAGAAAACAACAAAATATTGTTTTTAGTAAAATTAAAATTATTTTTAATATTTTATAAACAGTTTGTTTTTAACCCATAAATTAATTTTGAAAACAATAATTAAAACTGAAAACTCACTTCTTTTAGTAATTTTTTGAGTCCCCGATCGGCTACCGATTCAAAGCCAGAAGTGGCAAAACTTGGGTTCAATTTCACGTGCAATGAAGTGAACGCATTGTTTGCGGCCGACGATGAAAGCTGTGATAATATGTTGCGCACCGGCTGTTGAAAAGTCGATGGCTGACCATCTGTATCAATGATAATACGATATTCAATGTATTATATTAAAGCTATTATAAGCTATATATTACAGATACTATAGTTTTACTGCATTTATCTTATAAAATATTAATTTTCTAGCCATTATTGAATAACATATTCTGTTTTTTATAGATGATATCAATTTATTATAAATTGTATTAAAATACAATATAAAAACGCTACTATCATTAGGACTCTTACTATAAATTATAATACTATTATTACTATTATATTCTCGTCTATTGCATCCATAAAGTATCCGATATCATCAAAATGCGGTTTAAGTAAAAATGATAATCACATCTATTTGTAAGCAATACCTTATTTTACAAATAATTATACTATATATTTGCATTTATTCATGAAAAACTAGATTATTTGTAGTTTGCAAATACAAACTATTGAAACTATATTATAATATATAACGTATATGTCATACCATTAATGAAAGTTTTACTAAACAGTGGCGGCGATGAGTCAAACAAATATGTGGTCACATATAGTGAAATACACATAAATGTTATAATAATTATTGCCAACTCTCTGAACGATCGGAGCCGTAGTCGTATTAAACCAGTTATATAGCCATAGATATAATCGCGGAGTATTAGTATAGCCATAACTAGTGGTTGTAATCAATTGTCGTTTTAATAGTAATTGTTTTTTTACTATTGTATATTATCAGTCCATTAACTGTTCTCATATAACTTATATCATATAAGTCATCATCGATGTCTCCCTGTTATAAAAGCAAATGATATTTAATATTATTAATAAAATACTTTATATTATAAATGATAAATTAAAATACTGTATGTGACCGATAGTCAAAATGTGTTGTCATATATATATAATGTATTTGTGATGTCTTTGTTATGGCCAATAATGTGTAATGTTATGTATATATACAGTATTTATATATAATGTAATATTTAATACATTGACATTTCAGTGGGTGAGTCTTTGTAATAAAAATTATTACTTTTTTATTAAATGAAAAATTATTTGATTGATAATAAATGTTGTCTAATAAATAAACAATTCATATGATATTAATATAATGAAAAAGCATTGTCATCATATATTTTACATTTAGTTAACCTTTTATTTTAATCTAACAATTTTATACTTTTTCATTATTATTATTACATGTTTTTACTGTACATAATTATATAAATGCTTTGTATTTTTTATAATTTATAGTATCAATTAATATGTGCAAAACGTGTTTATCTTTATTGATATGTTCAGTGACATGATTTGTGCATTAGTGGCAAACAGTGAGACTAAAGACAACACATTTTTTATAAATACAATACAAATACACAAAAGACAACTTTGATATAAATCATTTGTTTTTGTCGTAACTATAATTAGCATAATTCTGTTTTGTTTACATTAATGAGATTTTTGTCTATTTTATAATTACTTTTGTTTTATGATAGAGAGAGAGAGAGAGAGAGAGAGAGAGAGAAAGAGAGAGAGAGCGAGACATTTATAATACTTTATAAAAGTTAGAGATATATAAATATATAAGTTTTATGCATTATTTAAATAAGTTTTACTCAAACTCTCGAGTGATGAGAATTATTATTAGTTTTTGTGTTGGAGTTGTAGTAAAAAATAGTGTAATACATGTTAAGGCAATGAAAGTGAGGAATGGGATACACATACTGTACACACATTCATTCACTTACTCTTTCTATATATTTTTATATACCATATCTATCTTCGCTGTTGTTTTTCACTGCTAGTCAGTGCTAAAACATTTGGCTATATATTGCAATCAAATTAGTAATTCAGGACACGTTCAACAAATAAAAGCACAGAAATCTTATTTAAGGCACAGTTATATTGATGGGTACTATAATTATAGCATTTTTATACATGACTTCAAATAAAAAAATCAATTTTCTATGTTAATCCTATAGTTATATAAAACATTATACAATTTTTATATTCAAACATAAATTTATATATAAATTTTTATATAAGTATCAATAGTTCATTGAATTTGTTTTTATAGACATAGCGTCTCTTATCAGATGATATTCACGGTTCACATATGGCCTTCCCTTACTATAATATATCCCATAACAACATAAACTTTAATAACACTAATAATAACCGTCATATTTAACAACATATACTGCTCCCAACTTTTCAATGTATATTATATTATTTAATTCATTTAATAACTTAGTTTTAATGTTTGTTTTTAAACGTTTTACATTATGTGTTGTACAGTAGTATGAAATAATCAAAAATAAAATCACTTAATGTCTATAATTTTTATGCATTTAATTTTCAAATTATATTTTTATAATTACAATGCTCCATTAAAATGAGTCACATTTTGATTAATTAAATATTTTAGCATTTTTAATCAATGTAATGCATGTTTAAATTATTCATAACATTTTTTAAATTTTAATTATTGTAAAAATATTTCATAATCCGATTTATTGATAAATAATAAATGAATTTTATGTCAATCGGATTACATAACATTTTATATACAGTATTAAGTACAAATATATTTTGTGATACCAATTAAAAAATATTTTTAATAGTCATTTTAAAAGATTAATCTGTAAATTACATAATTAGATCTTATATTAAATAAGTTAATATTAATATATACTGTATTTTATTTTGCAATTACTGAATCAATTTCAATCTCTAATGCAAACATATATAAATCAAATGTTACTACAAATTTAAAAAAGTAAAGTTAATTTATGTACAGTAGTAGACTCTTTCTTATTAAAATTAAATATATTATATTTTAATAAATTATAATTCTTATCTACTACATTTAAATTGTTTATATACTGTATATACGTATATATATATATATATATATAATTGCAAAATACAATTAATATTCAAAACGAGACACTTTATCATTAGAAATAATTCCCAGAATTTTGACTATTTATCAAAACACTATTGGAATTTGTGATGAGTTGTGCAAACATTTAATGTCAAGACTTTTTTTAAATCAATTGCATTAAATATTATTGATAGTAAATATTATATTTACATAAATATATTTACTATAAGTTTATTTATTATAAAAACATACACAATGTTATACAAATAAAACAATAGTATAATTATTGTTTCTATAAATTTTAATTATTTATTGTATTATCTAATATAATACAATATTTAAATCTCGCTAAAATCTAATGCATTTTTTATTTCACATTTACATTGAATATGGAAAGTGATTCTATATATTAAAATATATTAGGATATAAAATTTAAATTTTATAAGACATTTGAATGGCAAACATATAGAATTTAATATTAATAATATTATATACTTGAAAATATAAACTTTTTTTACATTTCTAAAAATGAAAATCAAATTTTTATATTTATGTTTTGTTTTATAGTTTTGGTATAGCAATGATAAAATAAGCATTTTATACTATAATTTATTAGCAATTTTATTTATTTAGAATAAAATTATATATTTATTAAGTTAGTTATTATATAAAAAGAAATTAGAAATAATTATAATGAAAACGACTGATGATTAAAATTATTAATGTAAAATATATTAGATATGCAATTATACAATTTTTTGACATAAAAATAATTATAAATTCCTTTTTATAAAAGTAATATTTTTTTAAAAATTTGAAATCAAATAAAACAAATGCAATGCTTGTATAAAAGTCTTTTAACTGTAAATAGATATTCATATATTAACTTATGAATAAGTTATGAAAGTTAAAATAAAGAAAATATATTGTATCTTTTGATATATATATAAAATCAGGGACAAAATAGGCGGAACTAATATTTTTATTATATCTTAAAAACTAAAAGACCTAGGACAAAGATATTCAATATGATACTATGGTTTCATGGAACGTACAAAATAGTGTCACCAAATTTTAAAAAAAATTTTTAAGATAGAAATGATCAAAATAATATCATAACATAAAATCTATAGTAGATAATGATAATCTATTAAATGTATAATAAACTAGATAAAAAATAACTTGACATGTGTTTCAGCAGTTTTTATTGATTTTTGAAAGGAAAAAATAAACTACTTTAATTAAATATAAAAAATATAATATAATATTTTACAAATAATACATTATTTTTCTCTTTCAAAAATTGATACTAACTTTATTAATTATTTTTTTGAAAATTGCTGAAACACGTATCAAATTATTTTTTATCTTGTTTATTATACATTTTATAGATTTTTATTATCTACTATAGATTTTGTGATATGATATATTTTTACTATTTCTATTTTAGTAATTTTATAAAAAATTTTGTCACACCATTTTGTACGTTCCAAGGAACCATAGTTGTTTATTAAATATCTTTGTCCTAGGTCTTTTAGTTTTTGAGATATAATAAAAATATTAGTTCCGCCTATTTTGTCCCTGATTTTATATATATATGTCTAATATTTTAATGTTTTGTTTAACTAATAAAAACAAATTATTATCAAAGAAATGGTTGGATATAAACACCAAAATACTAGCGCTTTTCACATATCTATTTGTTTTACTCCTCAATGGCTTTCCTCCTCATTCTTCTATAACTCATTACATGTCATTCCTTATGGGTATAGCAATAGGAAAGTGTAGTTTTGAAAATTGTTTTTTAGAAAAAAATAAACTGACAAATGCATTGATAGCAACACAAACATTAAGTAATTCAAAACAACGGCAAAACTCCAAAACCAAATGGAAAGTTCGCTATTAGTCAAGTAATAAAAGTACAGATTTTCTCCAATAATATATTGTATATCAAAAACATTTAGTTTATTAAAAAATGAAAACTAAAAACAAAACAAACAAAAATGTGCAAAACTCTTGAGACTTGTAGGAAAAGTTAACATTTGATGTGTTAAAGTGTTTGTGAATTGTAATACATATTTTGAAATTTTAAAATGCATTTATAAAACGAAACAAAGGAATATTCTTTAGAAAACTAACTCAAAAATAGATAAACATTTTAAGTATTGACAAAATGTTTATATAGTTTGGTATTTTGGACAAAACTTTATCTAGTTTTACAAATATTTGTACACACATTACGATAGTAATTAACTGTTAAATTAGAAACTCACGACTCGTTTAGCAAATAATAATTTGATAGTTAATTGAATAAAGTTTGCGCTTTTGTTGTTTCTCATTACATGAGATAATAATTATAACAGTAATCAATAATAAATAGACGTTTTATGTTAATTTGTAGACAAAATATTTATTGCAGACACAAATAATAATGACATATGTTTTCTGATATAAAAGCAAACTATAGATTAAGTAAAGAAAACTGAGAAACATTTACACAAATGCTTGAATGCAATACTGTTTGTATGGTGTGATGGGTAGGAAAATGACTGCAAATTGAGTGCAAACATAACATGTATTTGATGTCAACTTTGAATACTTAAGAAAACGGTTGTGCGATCCAAATGTTTGACTTATAATTGCAATACATTGATAAATAAACGCAATAATAAAATCATATATTAAATATTATTCAAATAAGTTATGCGTTTACTTGACACATGTAATAGACTATGGGCTCACAAAACAAAATAATAAAACACTGTATTATCTATTAATGAGAAATATTTTATGAATAATTTCTATGACTTGTCTTATTCACTAAATATTTGTCTGTCTATCTCTCTATAGATCTTTATTTATTATTTCCTACAATTTGCTAAATCTTATAAACTTAAGATGTATGTCACTAATAATAATATATAATATATTTGATAAATACTTGTATAATACAGTAATAAATTGATTTTCACATTGTAGTCAATATATTGGTGTTGTTGTTGTGATTATATAACTAAACACTTATTCATAATACATATATGAATGAAAAGACAAGAAGTGAATGAATGAAGAATTGATAGAAAAGGAAGAAGAAGAGGAAAACAGTTGTCAAGAGTTGAGATGAGACGCAAATCAGTGAACATATCAGTCAGTGCTCTACTAAACAGTGAGTTGTTATATAAAAAAGTTTTCCTGTTTTCCTGTCATCCCTTTCTCCTCTCATTGAATTCAGATTTTTATTCAACACTAATATATTATAATAACTTATATTTAAATGACAAGATCTCTCATATTATGTCAAAAGACAATCAAATCAATGAAAACACTTTTGTATTAAATGTATGAATGAAATACATTAGAGTTGTGAGAATATCTATGCAAATCAGTACATAATCTTATAAATATGAAAATATTTTTAAACCTTTATCATATTTTTTATTAGATGTTTTTTTGATAATATACTGTATTTCTAGACTATAATAAATGTAAAAATCGATTATAGTTTTTAACCTTTGGATATAATCAAGTCATGCAAAATGAAAAAAAACTGAGACGATATCTTTAGTTTTTTTTATTTATTAAGCCTTAAGCCATATTCAGATAATTATATTAACGTAAGTGAACTAAAAAATTTAGAGATTTATATATGCAAACAATTATAAATTTAATATATAGTGAGTCAACTTTAGGATATTGTAAATTGATTGCAACAGTTTTAACAGTTTATTATGAAGAATTTTATGCAATTATTGTATATATTATATTAGTTATACTTTTATTGAATTAATAGGATTTATGAGCTTAAGTTCTATGTTATCATCACTCGTAGATAATATGATTACCAGTGCAAGAGATAATCATAACAATCTATTTGATTATTTTAGTTTTAAAACGATTATAGCATACATTTGTTTATTGGCCTGTTTTTGGTCATTTTGGGAATGATTATGAGTGAGTTTATATTTACATTATTTAATTTATATTATATAATATATACTTTATATATAAATTAATTTACACTCATATATATATATATATATACATCGTGAGTGAATAATAGTGAGTCTAATTGTAAAACATAATATAAATATTGGATAATATTGAATATTCTTCGTTCATTTCGTTAATTTTATTAAACAATGTTTATATTCTTTGGCTAAAAATACAGTTGGATTGCATTAACACAAACACAGAATATCTCAACAAATTTAACGCTAGACTTATGTAAACAGTGGTGTTGTTGTGTATATGTTATAAACAAGAAATGCTTTTATATATAAGTTATATAAGAATAACACATCGGGTATTACTTACGATAAAAGACAGAGCCGTTAGTTGGGAGCACATGGATGGCAGCTGGATGTGCATCATCGGGCACTACATGCCAGCCAATTGAGACATCAGTGTAAAAATAAACGACAACACTGTATGTGCCAACAAATGCCTTATCGCACACACRTATCTCTTTCTTACCGTTTAACACAATAATATAAGTCTGAAAAAGTTTTAACTATTGATGCACTCGAGTGCTCAAAGATTACTGATATTTAACAGTTTTATACAACACAAGTGTTGGTATACTCGACGTGTGTATTGTATCTCCAGTTTATCCAATAGTTTGCTTTACTGTACTGTAGTGTGTATTGCCTGTGACTGTACTCACAGAGAAACACACAAACACACCGAAACTCATGAGATTATGGCTATGGATAGCGGTTTTGTGCGCCGGTCTCTCACTAATACATACTATTCACTCATCTCTTGTAATATTAGTGCCACACAAATGTCATTCAATTTATAAACACTTTAATTGTCAAAGTATTTCCTTACAAACAAGTTTTACATATAAAATATATTAGTATTATTGCTAAATTGATAACATATTTTATTATATATACATCCAATATTATATATATATCAAATATATGATACAACACTGGAATAGCTAATAAACATTTATTTGTTAACATTACTTAAGTTAACGTGTGTTAAATGTCTGCAAATGACATAATAATAGAGAAATATTTTTGTATAAAGTGAAAAATAGTAAACTATAATACATTTAATTTTTATTATAGCTATACAAATGAAACTATTAAATAACTAGAGATTATATTTACACCAAAATTGTTGTAAAAATGTGTGTATAAAAGTATTTTTCATTTTATATATAACTGTATATAAATTTTCACTTTCAATCTAATAATTCGCTTTTAATATATCTTACGCTCCAATGATTATATAACCCAATATTAAACAGTGTATTGCGTGAGTCAAACAAAAAAATTGGGATACAGTGCATGACATATACAGTATATATATATATATAAATAGATGAGTCCATTGCTATTGTATTTTATTGTCTCTTATTATAACTATTATTACGAATCCATAGGATATTCTCTTAGCTATTAATAAACAAAATTAAAAGTTCACTTATAAACTATAAAATTATTGTCATTTGAAAATAGTTTCAATAATACATTATACTAACTTATAATATATTATATTTAAAATAAATTATTTGAATAATTACTTATTATTTTTTCATATTTATTACATAATAAATGTATATTTACTTAAAATATAAACTCACAATATTTTATAGTTTCAATTAATTGCACGCAACTAAATAATATCAATATTTGAAATGCCATTTTTGTATTTAAAAATAAACTTTTATTTATCTATATATTTGAAACAATATATCAATTGATTTCAATAGCTAAAACAATTATTGTTTATAGTTTTTTTTATAATTTTATTTTCTATAAAATTAAACTTTGAAAAATTGTAGTTTTATTAAATTTATTTTGTAGATTCACAACCAAAATATGTGGTTTACATCTCCAACTGTTTGATTTTGACAATCAATGGTTACCTGACATTATTGTTTGTCTGCAAAAAAGTAAGACATAAATGGCCTTAAAGTGAGCTATGGTTTAAAAGTGCATAAATACAATACAATACAATTCCTAATGGGAATGACAACCAAAAACTTTTCAGAGAAAACATTTTGAGAGCTCTAAAAACACAGAATTTATTTACCAATTCTGTGATAAAACTTGCGATAATATGGCCCTACAGTTGTTGTGTCAAATTAGCAACAAATGTGTGTAAAGTACAATATATACTATTTTATCAAACAAAATTTAATATTGCATAACTTTATGCTAATTAAGCAACTTTTAAAAGTTAGACAATAAATTGCAATTATTTTAAGATTGTTTAAATATTTTATTGAAATATTTTGTAATAATAAAAACTTAAATAAATAATAAAATATATTGAACATGCAATTGGTATGCCTGTACCACAAACCTGTGCAATGGTTGCTGTCAATCTTAATTTACCGCAAATGGCTTCAAATAGTATTATAATGTTTGGGTCACTCATTCACAGCACTGACTATCTGTCTATCCATCAGTGAAGTCAAACATTTTTTTTATACACAATTCTCTAAACAGACCAACTCTTTAGTGATTTGAACACATTTTTGCTTCTTATTCGATGAGTATTCTTATATAAAGACATCAAAAGATGTCTCGAGAGAGAGAGAGAGAGARAGAGAGAGAGAGARAGAGAGGTAAGATAGAGACAGACAGACATACATAAGATAGATAGACAGATAGAGAGAGACAGACAGAGAGAAAGAGATGAAAGTAAAAGCATTGTTGAACTGAAGTTTTTGGTCATAAATTTATTCACTCAAATCTCGTGTGAATTTAGCTTCACTTGTGTCTAATGTTTCTCTTATTTTTCTATTTCAATGATCCTTAAGGTTGATCTTTCTTTTATTTTTAAACTCCAAATAAGACAATGCTTTTACTATCGTTTGCATCACTGGTTAGAAATAATAGTTGTTTTGTTATTTGTATTTACAGATCATTTCGTATGTCATTGTTATGACCGCAAAACAAAACACACGTATTATTTTACTATACATACGGTACAGTACACACAAMTATTATACAATAAAGTATACTGTGACTCTATTGACAAAAAATTTTAATTTATGTTTTTATTTTTGTGTAATAAAAAATTATTGATATTTTTGAATATATTGATATTTTTGAATATATTGATATTTATAATTTATAGAATTATTTTAATTATTATTGTATAAACTAATTGATTGATCGAAATATTAAGTAATTATATTTATACTGCACTTTATTTAAGTGATAAGAGTTTTGATTAGTTTTTTGCTTTATATATTTGAAGTACATTATTATATACTTATAAAATTAGTATTAAGTAAAATGAATGCCATAAGCATTGACAAACTATTCAATAGTTGTGTTAAATGAAAAGTTTTATTTGTAAGAAAAGCAATGAATAAATTGTTTAATTCATTGAATTGATTGAGAGGATCGACTAACTTATAATAGGAGAGCAGTCGTTAAGTTTTTGAGTAAATGTATCGCTTGAGTCAATTCATTCAATGATTGTGGCCATCCGTCACTGTTTTTCACATACTCTTTGAGACCTCATTTCATGTATTTGTTGTTTATGTTGTCCGAGCAATGAGTACTTCTCATGTCTTTAATAGCAATGAAAATATAGTGAGAGATCTTTCACAATAAATTAGTGCAATCACTGGAATAGTGTGCTATTAAAGCACTGGTAAGTCTTAATGGTGTATGTGCTGTATGTGCTGTATGTATGGGATTTTACTAAACAGTTTTGTTGGTGACCTAACTTTTTCTTATTTCCTGTCGTTTTCTCGTTCAAAGAGCACAACAATCACTGATCTGACTGTGTATTCAAMACTCGTTTCATTTAAACGAAAAATCCTTTTTTGGCACAACTTTACTGTACTATTGAATTGAACGCTAAGTTCATATGTATTATTGCTATCACATTCTCCACTATATCTTATATCAGATTTTATCCCAAAAACACACATACAATGCCTGTGGAAAGCCATATAACACATTATATGGTGAGACGATGGGCTCATTTGGTGTTTTTCTTTGCATTTACAGGCAATCACTTCAATCACAACAACTTTAACAATGCTATCAAAATTTGGAATCTCTTTCACYTCCCAGTCCTTTGCCTTAACGACACAATGAAGTGTCAGCTGCAGACTTGATCCACACATATCTTTCAAATTGAAAGTTTTGCCGCATTTTATTTTTAAAACTAAAACACTGCTTAAATATCTGTATAGGAAAGTCATAGAAGGAAAACACTAATCTCTAACTACTAGTTTTTTTGGAGAAGTTTCTTATATGATGAAAAAACTATGCATATAAATAGTGCTGATCCCGGTGCTCATTATGAATGTTTTTGCTGCTAAGCATTAAAGTGTCGGTGCCTAAGAGCTTATTAATCAATAATGAATCAGTAATGCATCGGTTAATCCTTAGCCCGATTGACATAACACCCAATTGAGATGTACTTTATAATTAAAAGACACTATTTATACTCAAAGTTTTAAGGCAATGTGTTTTTTAAGCAATTGATTACCAAAAAATTAATTAAATTCAAATTCAATATAATATAATATATTAAAAAGTRTATGRGTTTTACTGTTTTAGTATTATTAAAGTTTTAAAACATAAATGTTATAATTTAATACTGAGTACTAATACTGACTGATACTAATACTAACTACAACAAATAGTCACAAATTAAATATTTATTAATGTTTTATATGTAAATACGATAGAAATTATAACTAATTACCACTAGTTTTCTGATGTTTTAATTTTAAATATCATTATCAATTTGTTTATTAAAAAATAATAAATCTTTTTAAATTAACATGTGTTTTCATGTATTAATAGTTAAATCATAAAACTCTGGAAATATATGTTTATTGAATTTTTGTGATGAGATTTTATTTTTTATATATACTGTATATATTAAACATATTAGTAAAATTATATATTTATACTATAATTTCTTTACTKTAAATATTATATAATATAAATATKAATTTTACTAAAATTATCTAAGTAATATATAATAAATACATGTATAACTTAGGCTTAAATCAAAATTTGATATTATATTTTATATTAAATATAAATATATGAGTGTTTGGTGAATATTGATTATAAATAGGCTTTTATTACTAAACTAGAAAAGATAGATTAAATAACATATTATAATAGCAATGCATAGATAATATTTGTAATGACATCACTATAGTTATAATAAACTGTATGACTTTGTTTGCAATATGCATCTTAATGTTATTATACAATGTGTGTAATAAATCAAATAAATAATAGTTTCATCTGATACCTGTCTAATCAAAATACCGCAACACATAGAGTCCATTGATAACAAAAAAAACATATAATTTGCTGTATGACTTA